AGATAGTATAAAAATTGAAGCTAGAAAATTGTATGACTTGTATAATTCTTGTAGAATAAATGAAGTAGTATGTAATGAAGAACTTGAACTTCTAGGTGTAGATATGATGAATATAATATTAATGATATGCTAGAAAGTTATCTTGGACTTGCTACTGAGGAAAGAAATGATTTTGATGCATATATTAATCAATGTACATAAACTATTAAGGATCCACAAGGTTTACTTGATTTTTACATTGGTGGAGCAATCGCGACAATGGATTTTCAAAACTTCAACTGTGGTTTGAGATGTGTTAGCTAATCAAGCATTTTCAGTAGCTTCGGAGGGCACTTTTAGTGCAACAAGATTTTAAATTGGAGAGCATAGGTATTCATTAGCAGTAGACAACTTGGAGATATCCGTATTATTTAGAGATTGGATTAATGCCGAGAGAAGGAGTTATGGGCGTCCACCTTTACCTACCCAATTTGAAAATGATATTGATGAAATGTTGCAAGATTTTAGTGACGATGACATTGATGCATTGAAGGAACTAGCCGATCAACCAATTCCAGATCATGTTAAATGATTTAAGACAAGACTTCCTTGGTACCTTGAACTATTAGTATGATAATTCGAGGTCTAATTCAAACAGAACACTTCCTAGAAGGTGGATGTGTAGATTAGGTCCTCTACTAATATTTGTAACTCAAATTGTATTATTTAATTTTTATTAATAAAACTATAGGTTATTCACCTTAATTTTTTTTTTATTGTCTTCAATTTAATACAAGTGTTTTTATTATATTCCAATTTTCAAAGGGCAAAGTTTAAACTTAAGTTATAATTTGATATTTAAAAAAATTAAAATTTAAGTTTGAAATTTAAACTTTTAACGATTGAAATTTAAACTTTAAGAGCTTAAACTTCTAAAGTTTCAACTTTTATAGTTTGAAATTTTAACTTTAAAGATTTATTTAAAGTTTAAACTTTAAGAGTTTAAATCTTATTTTTTTTAAAAAAATTAATAAGTTATATATTTTCAAATATTTCAATTTTAAGTTAAACTTTAAAAAGAAATTTTTTGTAAATTTTTAATAGACTTTAATTAATAATTAATTATTTTTTTTTAAAAAAATGGTTGTTATCCCGGTTACCGGTTCGATCCGGTCCCGGTACTGTACCGATCCGGGATGGCATGTAGTAAAAACTGTCGGATGGACCGGTATCGCTACCGTTCCGGTTTCGATTGTTTTCGTCGCGAACTGGCCTGTTCCGGTAGTGCCATTACCGATTCCGTTGCCAGGCTTAAGCAAGAGTAGTATCAATACAAACAACACATATTGATAGACATCATCAATCGACTCGAACCTACCACATAATATAGAATAGACACTCAGAAATAATCATGCAATATAAATGTTACACCACTCCTCTTCTCCATTCACATACTCTATCATATTAACATCCACGAATACAAGACCACCACAATATCAAATCATAATCTAAACCTTCTACCACATTAATATTCATGAATACTAGGCCATCACTAGACCTATCAACCAACTTGCTATTCTTTGTCAATTTCTCATACCCACTTACTGGCCCCTGGATAGAGCAGTAAATGGAACTGGCGCCTTAGACCCACTTATCTATATCAAGATTAAACCCAACAACATTTATAAAATCAAGTTCAACATGATAATTAATAAGAATCACAGCTAGCTAGAAACAACTAAGAACTAAATCTCTATAAACTCAACCCAATAATTGAAATAGTTATGCACGAAATTACTGTTAAGCACTTAGTTGTCACAACAAATAACATACCTCTATCATTAAAAGTAACACATAGCCCAAAATCCTAGCCCTTATTCTACCTTACAATAACATGAATCATGTCTCATATAATTGCACACAAATCATATCTGAGATCAACTCACCTTTCAAGTAATCTGGACCACTCAAGGATCCAACATACAACAATTATATTATGAAGAAGTAATTTAGGTCTACTCATGGAACCATAAAAATATACATGGTCCTCTCACGGAACCCAAAGTCCAACTTTTAGTGTATCACTGTGGTACTCGAGTCATCTATAGTTAATGTACCGGCGTGGTACCCCAACCAACCATACATGAATATCTCCATACCAGGCGTGATGTCTAAGTCAACCGTTAGTATATAACATGAGTGGTATCTGAGCCAATCGTGGGGATATCTGTACTAGGCGTAGTACCCAAGCCAACCATCAAACATACAACATCATGTACAGTCACAAACATCACGAACAATAACACTTGAAATCATAAGTAACATAACCGATTCATTGCATGAGATTATCAACATGGTGTCATTACATATGCTTCTCTATGATTTTCCTATTATGCATACACAACTCACAAGTGATACAAAAGGCAGTAAACATGCACACCTATGTCTATTGGACAACGCCAATTATCCTAACAATGAACTTAACGCTAAGTAAGAGCTAGAGCACCACCCTTAGCAATTATCTCGTCTCCCGCCTTAAAAATAATAAACAACAACCTATAACCATCCAGACTCTGCGCCCGAAGGCCTATGTATACCATCTCCAAACATCTATAAGATATAATGTAGTAAAACGGGTGTGAACAACTCAAATTAAGGAAACCTAGCCTACTTGAGCGCCAAACAACTGCTGATGAACCTTGCCCGTGAATTTTGACTCTGGGGAGCAACCTATGATGAACGAGCACTGAAAATCCTTAGGTTTTCACCTTCCTTATGTGGTAGTTCTTCCCTTCTATTGCTCCCTTGCCCTAGGTGCCTTTGGAGGTTTTTGGAGCAGCCCTAGTCTATTTTTTCCTTTCAAAAGTGGGATGAAAAATAAAGACGACGCATTAATTAGGTTGTAGAATTTTGTCATTCCACTATAGCGCCTATTAGACTACTATAGCGGACTAATAACGTCAACCTGACCCAAAATTAAATTTGGGCCATAATCGTCGTGTGCTCAAATTTTAAAACTCTTACACTGCACTTCAGGACTTTTGGAACTCCGCACGAGATGCCTTTTAGTAACGACGGATCAGGTCGTTACAGATTATAGATTTTTATTGAAACTTAGAATTTATTTAAGAAAACTCAATAATCATTTTGATACGATTCATTTAAGTCTGTTAAGTCAATTTTTCTGAAAGCCTTAACACCTTAGTGCTTATACCTAATTAATATTAATGCATGTGTTTTTCCCCCCAAGGCCTAGCTCGAGTGGCAAAAGGTGGAGGATTTGTGACGTAGGTCGCAGGTTCAAACCCCACACCACGCAAAGCGAAACCTGATATTTAAGTGGAGAAGGGTAGAGGGGTGGGCCCATTATCCATTGAGTTTAGAAGGTTGTGATTGGTCCAAACGGCAGGTCACAAACGGATTTATCGGTTATAAAAAATATATATTAATGCATGTGTTTTTCCCCCCAAGGCCTAGCTCGAGTGGCAAAAGGTGGAGGATTTGTGACGTAGGTCGCAGGTTCAAACCCCACACCACGCAAAGCGAAACCTGATATTTAAGTGGAGAAGGGTAGAGGGGTGGGCCCATTATCCATTGAGTTTAGAAGGTTGTGATTGGTCCAAACGGCAGGTCACAAACGGATTTATCGGTTATAAAAAATATATATTAATGCATGTGTTTTCAGCGACCATTTCTAATTCAACACTGTCAATCAATGATACTTAGGGGTCGTTTGGTACAAAGATCAATAGAGCATGGATTAGTAATGCAGGGATTAGTAATGCATGGATTGGTAATGCTTGGATTAGTAATGCAGAGATTATTTTTATCAAGTGTTTGGTTTGTTGCTTTCTACCTAATTTTGTGTGGGTTTAAAACTCTACAAAAAAACATCTTTCCAATTATATCCTTGAGTTATTATGAGATTTTCTATTTCATGTAATTGGGTCAAGGTAGATAATTGACAAACAATATTATTATTTTTATTGCCTTTTAACTAGCTAGGAGAAGGAAAATTTTATCACCAAAGTTCACTATTTTCTCACTTAAATTATTTGAGGGTAAATAATTGTCATCTTAATAAATTGAAGTTAATATCTCAAAAGGCCACACAACTATAAGAATTTATAGAAAAAAGTTATTGAACATTGTTTTCTATCAATAAAATCATTCAATTTAGGACTTTTATCATACAAAAATCGCTCTTTATCATAAAATTAAAAAATAAGCAAAATAAATTAAACTATTTTTATACTCAAGATGTTTTTAAAATAGCAAAAAATAGCTCTTAAATTAATACATCAACATTAGCATATTAGTCCGATTATAATATTTTATATTAATAATAATTAGATTAAATAACTCATATTTTAGCTACAAATAACTCTATTTTAAATAATAAAAGTTTGTAAAGCTAAATCGATTTAAATAAATTTATTAGTACAAATATAAAACATAAAACAAAGAAAATAAATAAAATGAAAGGACTTGAGGGGGTATTTTTGTCTTTACATATATTAATCCCATGGTATTAGATCTCATGTATTGTTAATACCACCAAATGAAAAGTATTAGTTATACATCCTATAATACCATGGAGGGTGTATAACTAATCCATGGATTAGTTATACATAGGCCCAAAATTCCTACCAAACATAGTACTTCATAATACCACACATAATACAAGGACTATTTCTCCTAATACTCCCTACCAAACGGTCCTTCATGGATACACATTTTTTTAAATTTTTTATTCTACACTTGCTGTACTCCTTTTTAAGAAATGTCCAGATCCATGCACCAGTGGAGCATGACGAAGTATTCTGAGTCTGTAGCTGTTTGTGCGGAGATTAATTTTAAGATGACTTTCTTGATATGCAATACATGATTTCCTCTTTTATCATTTTCATTGTCTTTACTATTTCTAGACAATTACAGTATTACACCTTACTATTTTCTGTTGTGTAAACTCTTTAGATAAATATGACTCATGAGTATAACATGGAGGCATTTGATAATGATTCGTTTTTACTTTTTTTTTTCCTGAATTCAACTTCAGAAACTACGTTTTGAAATTCAACTTCAATATTTTTTTGGACAAGAAGAGAGGGAAAAGGTGGATCAAGATTGTGGTTTCGTAAATCAAAATACCTTCCTATAAATAGAAAGATCCAAGAGGCAAGACTTGTGTTTTGGTCATTTTCATATTTCTACAAAACCCTTTCAGTTTCAAGACTTTTCACTATTTTTTTCACTACTGTCTGGTAGGTCCGTATCTGTTCCAAGGGTTTCTTCCAAGGGTTTAACTTTCCCCCCAACAAATTTCTACCATGGAAACGCCTTCTTCCCAGCCCAAAAGGCGTGGCAGGCCAAAGGGTTCTGCTGCCAAATCCAAAGACGAAAGAGAAAAGGAACCTCACAGTTCCGGCAAGATGAGAGGTAGTGCTAGCAAGAGAGCTGCTGCTGTGGACGAGGAGTATGTTCAGTGGAAGTCACTCGTAGCTGTCCTCTATGACTGGTTCGCTAATCACAACCTCATTTGGCCTTCGCTCTCTTGCAGGTATATATATCTCTTTTTTTCTTTCTTGAAAGTATATTTGGTATGTTATACATTTCTAGAACCTCTGCTTTTCGGTTTTGTTGCGTTTGGAGTCTTTGTTATGTGTATTCTATGTGTGCTGGACTCTGTTTGCAATGGTGTTTGATTACTTTAGGTCTAGGATTTAACAACCTTTGCTCTTTGGTTTGTCTTGGCCCAAGACATTCAGGGCAGATGAGGGTTATTCATGAAGAAGCTCCCACATTGCCTTGTTGTTTCTGTTGTAATGTTTGTGATACACTTTTCCCCTTTTTTTTTCAATTGGGAAGATATAATTAATTTGGAATCTGGTGTTATCAGTTTTATTAAAAGGAAAAAGAGCAAAAGAGAAAAATAAACAGAAAGTGGGAAGGGAGACGTGAAGTACACATTACTTGATTCCAACAGAAGCACTGTTATATATATATTTATCGCTGAATAAAAGTTACAACATAAAATACACACAACAAAATAATTTATTCCTGGATGAAAGCACCAATGAAACTGTAAAATGCAGTGTTATCGCTGGATGAAAGCACCAACAATAAAAGCAACTTATGTTAAATTCAAGATTGCAAACATATATGAATTTGGTCCTGTAATGTAGTGTTGTCAAAGGTGCGCCTAAAGCGCACTTACATCAACAAGAAAATTAAATGCCATAGCCAAAGACCTGAAGTGAGGCTCAAAACATGTTGAGCGCTTTGCCTCATTTGATGTGCACTTCAATGTCGTCATTAAGGCTTTGAGACAATTTTTCCTTGCGAATAAGTGTTTCCTAAAGAGGCGACACTAAACAATTGACATTTACTTTATCGTAAAAAGAATCAATTTCTTTGTCTACATATTTGTAATTTATGCTTTATATATATATATATATATATATATTCTATTTGCACCTTTTTTTCATTAAACTTTAAAGCATGCTTTGTTTTGTGCTTAAAACCTCAAGGGACCTTAGAGCTTTTTTGCATCTTTTGCTTTTGATAACACTCCACCGAAGGGCATTGCTACATGAGTTGAGACTTGGTGGATGATGTGTCTGTCCCTCTACCCTTCTCCACCTAAAGGCCATTGTTTGTGGAGGGTTCAAATTCGTATGGTGCGTTTTACTCATATATCATATGTTGTGCTCTTACCTCTAGACCAGAGCCCTGGTGGCATAACTAATTTCAAGGTTAAACCATCTAATATACGTAATGTAGGTATTGTCCAGCTCCTTTTTCATGAGGTAAAAGAATTGATCGTTTCACATTGGGATCATTTTCTGCGTCATTGTTTGTAACAAACTTCTCAAAAGCTCATGATTTTGACTATGAATCCCTAACCTCTCATGTCACATTGCTTCATCGCTTTAAGCTACAAAGCGATAGTCCTCAATAACACTGCCTAGGCCATTGTTGAACTGTCATCTGTAGTGGATAGTAGGTAGTTTTTCTTATGCTGAATAAGTAAAATTTAAGAGAGTAGTAATATGGACATATGCAGTACCTGTCTGAGTAAATAATTTATATGACATAGATCCTCTGTTTGATTTCTTTTATTCAATGCAATCACTGTAGTGATTGAGTTTTTGTAACTGTTCGTAATTATCCCCGGCCAACGTCTCCTGTTTTGCTGGGAAGTTTCTTCAATAGAATTTTAACCCGTATTCATTGAAAAATAAATAGGCCTACTAAATACCTAAATACATGGTGCCACTCTTTACTGTGTATACACCAGTGTTGTGAAAGGCGATCGCCTTGTCGCCAATGGAGAGAGGCGACCCTTCATCGCCTTTTATCTTTGTGGCGAGGTGATCTTCAAAAGGCGACACCATGGCGAGAAAGGCGATTTTCTTTAAAAAGGCGACTAATTTATGGTTTTAAAAGTTCAAAGGCAATTTTAGGATTTTCGACTAGACTCCTCGGGTGACCAACCAAACTTTTCCGGTGACTCTAAAGTCCAACCAATATGTATTTCTTATTTTCTTCTTCAAATTTCTTCTTTCTCTGTTTCTTTCTTCTTCTTCTTCAGAGAGTCACTTCTACCTCAGGTTTTTTTCTATTGCTTTGACTTTTGTTCTATTTTTTCTCATTCAAGTTCTAGACTTTTAGTATGTACTATCTATTTTCCGTTTTTGAATTGAAATATTTGATAATATGTTATTGCTATTGAGATTTTGATTATTTATATATGCAATTAAATATTTTAATTTTTGGTATTAATTGGGTTAGACTTCATAAAGGCAAGCGCCTCGCCGCTCGCCTCGCCTTGTGGCTAGGCAGACCCTTGTCGCCTTTTATCGCCTTTCGCCATCCAAACCACTGGTATACACTAGAGGTTGACTATATGAACATAATTGGGGGATGTTTTGGACTTGGATCAGTAGATGGATTTTGTTTTTGGTGGCCCATGCTTCAATTATTTGAACCACTTTGTTGGATAAGAACTATTGTTGCTGCATATTGTTTGCTTAGGCATCACTAATGCTTTGATCTAGGAGATATGGCAGCTAATTCAGTATATTGTTGTGCAGCAGTGGCGGACCAGAATTTTCACTAAGTGGGTTCAATATATAAAACGGAAAAATAAATTCGCAAAGAAGCAAATAAAATAACAACAAAACAAAGGTTGATTAATTAAAATATATTATCAAAATTGTATTTTGCGAGTTTTTCATTTCTTGAAACTTATTCATAGTAAGTACTATCATCAGAAATAATATTAATTTTTTTTCCTATATGAGGCACAACACACCCGCTCATAAGTCATCGTCCATTCGATTTCACAATTTTTTTTACTAAAATATCCTCCTCAAATATGATGGAAAAGATGTGGAAAAGGTTTTGAGGAACAATTGTGTCTTTGACCATGTTAATGCATATATTAGAACTCATTGCATTATTAATACCATGTATTTCCATGCACTAGCTATATGGACCTTAATACCAAATAGAGTGTATAACTAATAGTCTAATACAAGCGGTATTAGTTATACACATGTTGAAAAATATACCAAACAAGGTACTAGTAATGCATAAAACTAATACATGCATTTTTTTTTCTAATATACTCTACTAAACGATCCCTAGGTGTTGATCTTTTGGGAATTGGGGACTATTATTCCTTTTTAGATTCGAACTGGGAACCTTTTTTATTTTATTTTAAGTTCAGTTGTATTATTATAAAAAAAGGTTTTGGGGAAAACTACAGAAAGGGAAAAAGGACCGAAGGGTTTTAATGTTTAAAAGAAAGAGGCAGCTAATTTGTAGTTTGTGTGATCCGAACTTGGGGCCATTTTTGAAAATTGAACCCACTTTGCCACTAGGCTAGGCGTTGCTCTTTGTTCAAGTGGAGTCAAATGTTAATATATAGCAATATTGTTTAAAAAAAAGATCATATATGTCTGTATATACTGTGTAATTTTTTGAGGAAGTGGGTTCATATGAACCCCCTTGCAACCATGTAGGTCTGCCCCTGGTTGTGCTGTTTCAGATTTCCTTTTGAGTTTTGGCCTGCTGATTTCACTGACTTTGCTTTAATGTACCTAGATCTATCTAGGAAGCTACAATTTTTCATGAGCGGTTTAAAATAATGAAATTACTGATAAAGGTTATTGATATCTGGTTTCTTAAGATGAGATGGATTTTGAGGCAACAATTGCTACAAATTTGTAAAATAGGGTAATAGTGTAGATTGGTAGTTATTGCTTTCAAAATTTCTAAAGTAGTGCTTACAGAAATGTGGAAATGCAATCTGCTGTTAATGAAGTGTGATATTTGACTTATTTCAACTCTGGAGTTAATTCAATTAATTCTTAGTTGAACTGCTCACTTTCGGAAGTTTTCTCAATTCATTAATGTAGTGAATCCACATGTAGGGGTATAATTGCCCACTAATTATCCACGGTGAAACCCTTGTTTATATACCTCTTTTTCTCTTTGCCTCCACATCTGCCTCCCCATGTGAACAAAGATTGTTTAAAAAATGTTGTAAATGGTCAATTTAGGATGATTGGAGATTGTTTTTTTTTGACAAAATCAAAGAATATTTTTGTCTCGTGCAAAGTATTTCGTATGAAAGTTTTTTAATTTCTTCGAGCCTGTTTGGATTGACTTGAAAAAAAGTACTCCCTCCGTTTCAAAAAGAGTGGTCTAGTTTGACTTGACACGGAGTTTAAAGAAAATAAAACACACTTTTGAATCTTGTGGTCCTAAATTAAAGTTATGTCAAATGTACAAAATTGTCCTTTAATCTTGTGGTCTTAAACATGCCACGTGGAAAGTTGAAAGTAAAATTTTACCAAAAAAGGATAGAGGTCATTCTTTTTGAAACGGAGGGAGTAGCTTTTATGTCGAAAAATAAAAAGTCAAACTTGTATGACTTTTAAGTCAAAAAAGAGAAAGTAGAGGGAGACCTACTTTTGGTTTTTAACCTTTTTAAAGTCATTTTAAACTTATTTTAAGTTATTTTTAATCTTGTCAAACACTTCCAAAAGCTACAATGACTTTAAATTAGGTTTGACCAACTTTTAAGTCAATCCAAACAAGCTCTTCTTCATCTCCGTTATATATCTAGACCATAGTTTCCCTAATATTTTCTCACATCAAATTAGGGCATAAAATAATCATAGCGGCTGTTCAACCATTTTTGGTTTTTTTTAACTGACTAGGGTTCTGCGGTGACATATATCCACTTTGAGCCATTAAAACTTCTGTTGGTTCTTGCTTCTTTTTGTTGTAAAGATTTGATCCATCTACGAACCAACATGGTAGTTACCCCAAGTGCTGTAAGTGGCAACGAAGGAAAACGAAACTTGGCTCTTAGGGGATCAAGTAGTGAAGATGGGGAGAAGAATGTTAGCAAGTATGGTGAGGAGTATCTGGTGTGGAAGTCTAATATCCCTGTGCTGTATGATTGGTTCACTAACCATAGCAATACATGGCCTTCTCTTTCTTGCCGGTATTATGATTTCTTTCTTCATTTGCAGTATACTATAATTTTGTTATGCTGAACCAAGTTGTATTGATGAAGACGAAAGCTCATTTTTTTTTTTTTTTTGCTTTCTTAGGCATGTTATTGATCTCATGAAACTGAATATTTGCTTATGTTATTTGTATGTATAGTTGCAGGTGAACAATTAGAAATCACAGATTTGATGACAAAAGTTAAATCTGAGTATATGCCTAATGTTAAAACTTAGGCAATTATTGTAATAGAACTTTATAAGTAAGTTTTTGTAGTTTAGAAATGGAAAACAAATCTTTAAAACTTGGAAGATAGATATTAATTTGGTATATGACTTTGTGATATGTCTTTTGATTGTTCCCTTTCATCATTAAAATGAAAATCTCTTTAGGAGAATCTCCTAACCCTTTCACCAAGATCTGAATTCGAGGTAGCAGGTGGCGGAATAACTGAGGTGCGTTATAAAAAAAGGAATTTGTATCCTTTATACCAAGTTTTGAATTCCCAAAAGAAGCAAAAAAAAGTTCTGAATAATTACCATCTGGGTGATTGCTTTGTTGAGGAGGTATGCTCTGAATGATAAGTAGGACGCATGCTTATGTATTTAGGAGTATATTGTATCCATACCTGCACATGGTGGTCAAATACTATGTATGTGGTAGAGTATATGCATCTTGCACATGGTTAAACAGCATATATGGGATGTCCTTTCTACTTGTGAGCTAGTTGGTTCCATGGTTTATCATTTCAGGTCATGTTGTTTAAGTTCTGATCTCAAATTAAGTAACTGGGTTGTTCTGTATATGGTATGTGATTCTTTTTTTTTTTTTTGTGTGTGTGTGAGAGAGAGATATGGTTATTATTTCTATGTGATGGTTATCTACAGAACTCTTTGGCCTTGCATTTATATGTTTAATTAATGAAGTGGATAATAATCTTGTTTTTTTTATGAACATTTGAAAATTAGTGTTGCTATCTCATTTTGATCTTGGTCTTATCAAGTTGTTTGGTATAAAAATTGATCAGTCATATTAATGGTTATGTCTTTGGCAACAGGTGGGGTCCAGTAGTTGAGCTGGGTCGTTATAAAAACCGCCAGCGACTCTACCTTTCTGAACAGGCAAGCCTACATTGCACATGATTATTGTTTTCTGGTTAATATTTTCAGCATTTCCTGTGTATTTTACATTGATATCCCAAAAGATTTACCATATCACCAAGATTTTGTAGAAGTATACTCTTTTCTTAATGAAAAAAGGTTATCTTTAGTGTAGGTGATTTATGTCTTGTTTTTTTTCATTTCTTTTTGGGATTGAGGGCACCTACTCTCCCTCTTTTAACAAATCTCTTTATTATAAAATTAATATCAATAATTTACTTGTCTTGGGGGTATATAATCCTTGTTATTTTCATGCGTTCCTTTGGTTTGTTGAGATGCTTGAGTGGAAGAGGTACTGGAGCACACGCCCACCTCTGATCTTAAGCTTGTTAGTTCGAGTATCATATATAAAAATTTCTAGTCTGAGGTTTGGTTTATTGTGTGAGGATAGGCTTAGAAGCTTAGAAATATGACTTAGAGCCTGTTTGGATTGTGGTTTATTTTAGGTGCTTTTAAGCTAAATGGCTTTTAAGCACTTTTATAGTGTGGGTAAAATAAAAAATACTTTTAAGCACTTGTTCTTAAGCCAAAAAGACAAAACTTAATGGCTTTTGGCTTCTATAAAGCCTATCTAAATAGGCTCTTATTGTGGTCTTAGATTATCTATTGTGCCTCTGGGTTGGTGCTAAGTTATCATCCCTACTAAGTAATTTGCAGTTCCATTGTAAAGGTGGAAATGAAATCCATTGCTTTAGGTATAAAATACTGTTTGAAAACATCTTTCTTCCTTCGTGTCCTGAAGCATACCCCAATAATTTTCTTTTTTCCGTATTTTAGTTTTTGAACTTCCATTTATAAATTTCTTGATATCTTTTGTGATGTATAATTACCCCACTGCCTCTACTTTTTTACTTAATCATGTGTATTGTTAATTTTCATTCTCTAATCATCTTTAAAAGTAGATATATTCAATTCTCACATTTTTCATAACAGGTTCTCTAACAGATTTTTGTTGATGACATAGTTCTCTAACATAGGCAGAGGGTGCTATTATAAAGCTTTCTATATTTTTTATATATAAGAATATCAATATTGATTATTCAATTTGATGTCAATTGCTTGATTTGTGAACAGGTGTTATTTGTAGAGTTTATAGGTTTAAGTAGCAATTTAGTTGTTTGTATTAAAGTGTGCCTTTCTTAACAAGCAGCTATTTCTGTATTGTTGCTTGTGATCTTAAATTTAGAAATATAAAATCAAAGATTTCAAAATTTGAAGTAGCATCCTGAAAATTACTTTTGACTTGAGGAGTTAAGAAGTGGGCTTTGGCGTGCTGCAGGCCAGAGTTACAGACCAGTCCTGAGCTGTTAGAACTTAGATGTTTGGGATGTGATTAACTGGTTCAAGTTCCCTTAGGGTCTGAGCTAGCTCCTACCTGCTACAGTAGGAGTTGGGGCCAGTTTTAGTGAGCTAGGCTTGGGCGGTTTCGTGGGCTGACCAGGCCCTGCTACCACGATGGCTAGAGTTCAGTTCTACCATTATTATTGTCATTGTTGCTGTTGATATTAGTATTATCAAATAATTTCATTTTTATAGTTTGCTTTCTGACAGGCAAGTGTTGACAAATATGATAATTTATTGTTGCATTGCATGTACAGCAAATGAGTTGAGTTTCTGGATTCTATAATTAGGCTCATATATTTTTTTAATCTTTTAACTTTTGTCTTTCCAGACGGATAAGTCAGTGCCTAATACTTTGATCATCGCCAATTGTGATGTGGTTAAGCCCAGGGTTGCAGCAGAAAATCACATTGCAAACGTAAGTATGTTTGACATTTTAATACATTTTTGTCTTAGTTATACTGCAAATCAATCATAATGACTTTTTTTAAATGGCTTGGTTCTAGTTCAATGAAGAGGCACGCTCGCCATTTGTGAGGAAATACAAAACCATAATACATCCGGGAGAGGTAAAAACTACTTGAACACTGAAAAAAATACTGAACTTGCACGCATGTTCACAGAGCCAATAATGGACTTAGTTTGCCTGTGAACGTAAGTTCAGTATTTTTTTTGTAGTTACCACTTACTAGTACAGTAATTACTCAAAAATAACTAGACATACATGTTTGTTAGTAATTAAGTAATTACAATGTAATTCCATGTGTCATGTTTGGTGGTACAAGCGTAATAACATAGATATTTTTCTTGATTAAAAGTAACTTAGATATTTTTTGTTTGAAGATAAATTTAACAATAAAAAAGCACGATAATAATTCTTCATTAATTAAGAGCAGAATCCTCTTTTCCAGTAACTGCTTACTGGATTTGAATCTTTTCTTTCCTTAGAGTAATAGTCACCTTGTGTGATTATTATTTTTCAGCTTTTTATTTCAAGATTTTTGAGCTATGGTGTTTGTTTCCCGGGACATTTATTAAAAGATTTATTTTACGGGGTCTCATAAGAGTGAGCTAAGCGAGTATTCGATGTAAGCGTTTATGGGGGGAAAAAGTTTCTACTTTGCAGTATGTTTTAAGTCTTACGATATCACCAGGCTTGCGCCTTGCAGCCAGAGCTGAAGTTTGGTTTGAATGGGTTGAAAGAAACCGGAATTTGATGCGCAGAACAACTTTGAGAAAGAAAACAATGGAATGGATAGTCTTTGTACTCCGAGAAGCTTCAAAAGACCCTGCACCCATACGAGAAGGTGGAAGCTAAATGAACAATACTCAAACTTCTTTTGTTCCAGAAAACACTACAAATTTGGATGATTTATAAGCATTGCGACAGTACAAGGAGGGAACAAATCTGTCATTATTATTCCAGAAGTTACATTTAATGTGGGATGGGGAGACATAACATTCAAGATTGATAATTTCATCAAAGAACATAAAGGAACATTTATTACAAATATTCCTCGGAGGATAGACCCTAAGGTTCCTTATGCAGATTCAACAGAACTACCAAGTGGCAATCAAAAGAAGCATCTCAATCCCTGATCAGCAACAACAATTATTCTTATCATCATCTCTGGTGGTGATGCTAACCAGGAAAATGGCTTGCTGGGAAGATATATAGTTGGAAGTTTCAGTGGAGAAGAGAAGGAGAAACCAACACTTTCAGATATCAGAAAATGGGTGGTGAGTATTTGGAAGAAACACTCTTGGATTTAATATTTACGAAATGGATGGCTGCTCTTTTCTGTTTGAGTTTCCAAACAAGCACATGACTGAGCATATTCTTCAAGGTCAGTGGGCATGGAAACAACTGAAGATTCATTTCAAATGGTGATTGCCAACTGTGGGTTGTCGCACCAATCGAGATGCCTCAACATGGATAAGAGCAGTAGGTTTTCCTCTTCAATTTTGGATGGAGAAAATGTTCAAGGCCATCATAAATCAATGTGGGGGATGGCTGGAAACATAGGAGGAAGAGACATCCATGAAAACCCATTTGAAGTGGGCGGGATTGAGAATCAAAGGAGATGGAAAGGAAGTTTTGGAAGAGGTAAAATAGTTGACAATGGTCTTACCTTTTTAATTCCAATCTGGAGCGAGTCAGGAACCATTGTGGTTGCTGGAGAGGAGGAAGTCTTGGAGGAAAGGATCGTTGGGCAAAATAATCCTACACAGGTAAAGATAATAGGTGCTGCTTTGATACAGAGAGACACCTATTTCAAATAACACAGCTAGCAAGGGCCCAACAACATGTAGGACAAAAGAATTTTTAATCAAAAGCAATAGACTCTTAATGGGTCAAAAGGAAAGCTCAAACAATTGTTTTAAAGGAGCTACTTCTAATAAAGGCCAGTTCTCTTTACTGAGGCCCAACTTCTCATTTCTAAATAATCTAATGTCATGTGCTCTTTACAATCAAATCCAATGCGAATGGAAATAGAAGCAATCTGCACATACCTTGTCTTTGTTGATAGTAGCTTTGGAGACATGGGATAAAAAATCACAGTAGAAATCAGCCAGCAAGTAGTACAAAAAAAAGAAAAAAAAGAAAAGGAGAAGATTATGTAGATGCAATGACAAATATTGAAGAAGGAGAAGCACAAATTGATATTAATGGTGACCATTAAGACATGTAATTGGTCGATTGCTTTGATGATGCGACATGGAACATTGAGGATGTTGAACCTTTTAATATTGGACACATAGAGCAGGAAAGTGACAATGAGATAGATGTGTCAATCGGGAGGAAAGGAAACTCTAGGGTGTTATGATGAATGTCAAAATAATTTAATGGAATGTGGGGGACTAAATATTACTCAATTGCAGGAATTCACAATGAATTCGAGGATCGAAGCACTGTTTCAAGAGTTTCTCGAGAAAACAGTTAATAAGGAAGAAAAATAAGAATTGAGAGAGAGTTTAGGAAGAGAGAAATCTGTATATTTCATATCATGATTGTACATTGAATTGATTACAAGCTATATAGTAATTGAATTGAACTCTTAAGCTAAAACTGAATCTGTTATCAACTAACTGCTCTTAACTAACTTTCACGGTAGCTAACTAACTACCTTTAACTAACAAATGGAACTGTAACTAATCATTTAACAGAACTCCCTTCCAATACAAGATCCTTGTCTTCAAGGATCAAATAAAGGAAATATGGTGTTCAAGGTTGTGGCAAACCCCCAAGTAGCAACATCTGCTAGTAACCAATGCCATTTAACCTAAAGTTGTGCCACAACTTTATTACCCTTCTTAACCATTCTTCTCTGCAGTACCAACTCAGGATTAGGGCAGTGTGGATTGGCTAAGTCAACCACAGGGGGATAAGATATCTGAGCTGGGATTTCATAACACCTCTTCAATAGGGAAACATGAACGGTGGGATGGATCTTCACTGAACTTGGCAATAAGAGTGTAAGCAACTGGAGCTACCCTCTTAAGAACCTGAAATGGCCCATAGTGTTTAGTAGCCAACTTGTGGAGTGAATGACCTGCAATAGTTGCTTGCTTGTAAGGTTGAACTTTGAAGTATACCTAATCACCAACTTCAAAATGCATGTCACTCCTGTGAGAATCAACATGTTGCTTCATCATGTGTTGAGCCCTCAATAGGTGATGCTTAAGTTGTTGTAGCTTAAGCTCTCTATTTAGAAGAGTATTATCAACCTCTGCTGAAATAGATTCGCTAGGAAGATAAGGAAGGTGTAATGGAGGTGGACGTCCATATAAAGCTTCATAGGGAGTAGTCTGGATAGGTGAATGATGGGAGGTATTGTACTAATACTCAGCCATAGGCAAACAAGAAAACCATTTGGAAGCATCTTCATTGCAATAACATCTAAGATATGTCTCAAGGCATCTATTAAGGACCTCAGTTTGGCCATCAGACTGAAGGTGATATGCAAATGATAAGTTTAGTTGTACCCCTTGTATGGTGAACAACTCTTGCCTGTAAGAACTAAAAAACAGCATCTCTGCCGCTAGTAATAGTATCAGGTAGTCCATGTAGTCTCACCACAACATCTAAGAATACCTTAGCAACTGACTGGGCAGTGTAAGGGTGTTTCAATGGAATGAAATGTCCATACTTGCTGAGTCGATCAACCACTACTAGGATGACTTCATATCCATTGGACTTAAGTAAGCCATCAATGAAATCCATGCTTATTTGGGACCAAACAACATCTGGAATAGGCAGGGGCTGGAACAACCCACGATAAGCAGCCAAATCTGATTTACTCCTTTGACACCCATCACACTTCCTCACAAATTCCTTTACCGCTTGCGTCATATGCTTCCAGTAGAATAAAGTGAGCAACCTCTTCAAGGTAGCTTCTACTACAGAATGTCCTCCGTGAGAAGAAGCATGCCATAAGTTCATAATGCTCCCACCCCTTGCCAACCACTAGTCTGCCATTCCTTCTCAACTGACCTTGAGTCCAAGTGAAATGTTTGTGTATGAGGGTTAGTCTGCAACTCTTGGATGAGTAGTTTGAGCTCCTGGTCTGATTTCCAGCTATCTACTATAGCCTGAAATAAATCAGTGTTGGTAGGAGAAATTACCAAAGCTAGGAGTTCAGCCCCATTGATCCTTGAGAGTGCATTAGCCGCCTTGTTTCCCACTCCTCTTTTTGTACTCTATACAATAATCAAAAGACATCAACTTAGTCAACCAAACAAGCCGAGAGTTGGTATGCAGTTTCTGCTCCATAAGGAATTTCAGAGCCTTTTGATCAGTCCTTATAATAAACTTTTGGTGCAACAAGTATTGTGACCACTTAGTTACTGCTTGTACAATCTAACTCCCTATCATAGGCAATTAATGTTGCATGTCTAGGTGATAAGGCTTTACTGATGAGGGCTATGAGGTGTCCTTCTTGCATTAGGACTGCCCCTATGCCATAACCACTTTCATCGGTCTCCACCACAAATGTCTTATGAACATTAGGTAAGGCCAACACAAGAGCCTGCGTCGATGCTTTCTTCAGTTTTGCAAAAGTAGAATCAACAGTAGTTGACCATTTGAAGCTATCCGTCTTTGTTAGATCAGGTAATGGCTTACAAATCACACCAAATCCTTGAATAAACCTCCTATAATATCCAGCCAAACCCAAAAATCCCCTTTGCTGCTTAAGGGTGGTAGGAGTACACCAATTTTTCACAGCTTCCACTTTCTGAGGGTCAGTACTCACACCTTTTGCTGTAATAGAATGACCAAGATATCCAATCCTCTTGACCCCAAAGAAACACTTACTCTTCTTGGCGAAGAGTTGGTGCAGTTGCATCTCCTCAAACACAACTCTCAAATGATTCAGATGATCCTCCATATTACTGTTGTAAATCAGTATATCATCAAAGAAAACTAGGACTTCTTTTTTGAGGAATTTCTGGAAGACAAAATTCATTAAGCCTGAAAGGTTGCTGGTGCATTTGACAAACCAAAATGGCATTACCAAATATTCAAAGTGACCAGAGTGAGTCCTAAAAGTAGTCTTAGGTACATCGT